CACCTCGCTCAGCCAGTGAGCGGGAACCGGTCTGTACGTGGGATCCGAACCCTCGGCGGGAGCGCCACCGCGCTCCCAAGCGGCGCACTGTAGCAGTGCGCCACTGGGCCGGCCCGTACCCCCCACTTTTAAAATCTTGTTTAAAAAAGGTCATGTTCAACCTTGTTCATCATAATTGTGGTATTATAACATTTTAGGTTAAATACTTCTAAGTTTGATTCTGTCATCTCTAATAATCTGTCTCTGAATATATTTCAGAGGAAGACAAAGCTTTAAACACCTCTGTCTCTAGTTTGCAGGTGGTAACTTATTTCACCTAAATTACAAGTCCATTCCATCATGCTGCTTGGTCCCCAGAGAAAGAGAAGGGAGACAAAGATCACTCTGGGGTCTTCAACCTAGCTGACTGAGACGAGTCGTACCACAGGCTGGCAGGGAAGGTAGAGGGGTGCTAGTTTGGTAGAGAAAGTGTCACCAAAGGAGTTTGGTGTTGGGCGTGGCAAGGTAATGCAATGCATTGGTGACTTAGGTCTCCTGGTCTTTTATCTCTGGCAGTGCCTCTTGTGTCTATTCGTTTATTAAACTAAGCATGTATGTTTGTAAAGCATGTTCCTAGAAACAGCTACTTCTGAAAAAACTACCTTGTCAGACACTTGTGTAGTTAAATAATATCAACACAAGTAGTCTAATTTAAGAATTTCTTCCTTTTAATCTTTTTTTCCATAATTAACAGAAAAAATATCATTCAACAATTTGATTTATGCATTATTTCCCCTTGTGTAGTATTCAAAGCTATGGGAAACTTAAAAAAAAATCCAGATGGTTTCTAAAGCTTCCTCCCTGCGCCATGTCTCTTTTCCATGTATTGTGGTTGTTCTACAAAGCACAGTGAAATGCCCCATCTGTGTTGTTTTTTTCTTCACAGGTATGTAGTAATGAAGCCACCTGCATCTGTGATTTTACTTGGGCAGGGACAGACTGCAGTATCCGGGATCCAGTTAGAAACCTTCACCCTCCCAAGGAAGAAGGACCCAAGGGTTTGTGTGATTTCAGTTTCAACTCATTGCATACTGAATTCATTGGCACTGATGCAATGCACCAGTATAATACGTTAATAGATTTGAAAAACGACACAAGGAATATCCCTTTTTGCCATTAAAATGTGTAATTCATGTTACTATAGAATTAGGATTCTGTGTATATCATATTAAAAATGTGTTTCCATTATTTACCTGTTAGTCTAGAACTGAGATTAGGAAGAAGTAAATATACCAATTTCCTTTAATACAGCTTCCTTTCTCTCCTTTTAAACCTCATTCTTTTTCCATAATCACAAATGCTAATTCTTGTATAGATTGTCTAAGCTATGCTAGTTTTCTAATGGGTAAGATCTTTTTGGTTGACATGAGACTCTGGTCGTTTCTCAGTATTTTATTCCCTTCAAAGGAAAGTTGTAGCCTTCCATACTTCTTTTAAACACTCTTTTGATTAGGAAGGAGTTGGAATTCTTCAAAGAACTTTAATTCTTTAAAGAAAACATGAAAGATCTGGGCTTTTGTCTTAATCAGTCATTAAGAGGAGAGAAATTAGAATTTTAGAAGTAGAAGGGGTCTCAGTGGCCACCTAGGACCACCCTCTCTCTCTGATTTTGCAAATGAGAAAGTCCAGGTCCTGAGGTCAGGTGACATACCGTAGTTACCCAGGCAACGAGAGATGGGGCTGGGACCAGGACCCAAGTGCCTGATCTCAGACTCATGCTCTCTTCCATTATATCATGTTGTCATGTAATCTGTGTCATCATGAAGATAGTAATAATTTTCTCATCATTCTTCTCATTCCCAACCCTTCGTATGGTTCTCAAAGATCTAGAAAAGCCAGCAGTCATAATAGGCTTACTATAACATCTATAGCATTGTACCCAAGAAACCAAGGAATTACCAGAACCAGTTTTGATACACAGCAATGACATTGTACATCAGCTTCTTTTTCATGGTGCTGCTAACAGTATTTCATAAATAACTGCCATGCTTTTCTCGTACAGGTAGGAAAATACATATAGGAATTTTGACCTGCATAGTTTTGGATGAAAGTTCATTTAAACTCTCTGAACTTCAGTATAGTCTATATGACTCCAAAATCATATGAAGCTCTGTAGTCCTCAATTCCTAGAGAGATTTAGGCCATTTGGGTGCATGTGAATTGTTCAGTAACAGTGGGTGTGTTAAAACACATTTCATGAATTTGCTTAATGTGCCCATGATATTAAAATTCTGTAAGAATCATAATCACACCCTCACAGTCTATTTCTGTTCTCCTTCTTCTATTTCTAAAAGGTAACCTATTCTACTTTTACACTTAGTCTTTTGTTACTTTGAAACCAGAACAAAAAATTCTTGGATCCACCTTCAGAAGTTAGATTTAGAGAAGATTTAGCAGAGGTTCATTCTTTCCAAATCTTCTCTCCATAGCATGTCTGTGATTTATTTATTTTTTTTAAATCTAGATGCTCTTTCCCCAAGTGATGTATAAAGATGCCTGAACAGATGAGCAGGGCTAAATTTACTTAGACTCTGCCCTTTTTCTTTAGGTATGGTGGAGGATTATTAATTGTCCGTTTCAGTCTATTCCCCATTCCTTCACCCACCCCATCCCTTGAAAGCTTATTTGTAGGCATAAAGTAAATAGCTACATTCTAGAGAAGAGATTATTCACAGCTGCCTTTGTTTTGTTTTGCTTTCTACCCACTTAATGTGGTGGTATTCCACGCTATCTTAAAACAAAACAAAACAAAACAAAAACTCTTTTTTGATCATTTCAGTAACACATATTTATGTAGAAATTTTTGAGAATACGGAAAGGCTTAAAAAGAAAACAAAAATCACCGTAATCCTACAACTCAGAGGTAATCAGTATAAACATTCTGGTATAGCTCTTTCCTGTTGCACGTTTTCTTTTTTCGTTCTTAATGAAGACAATGGAGTCATTAGAGTAAAGGTTTCCATTGGTTCTAAAATTGTTAAAATCCTTGTGAAACTATAATAATTTTTATTAAATTGAAAATAAGTCATTAATTGATATAAATGAAAAACAGTGATTTTTGTAAGTTATTAGATTTCTGGAAAAATCAAGCAATTTTAGTACAACTAAATAATAGTTCTGTTTATAATGACTATTTATATCTTTCCAGCCTTTATAGAAAAATCTATTAATTTACTATTAAAATGGGAAACAATAGAAATCAAACATTTTAAAACTTTGTTGTACAATTTTAGATGTTGTTTCTGATAATCTGGTTAAAAGGAGATGCTAAGTGAGAAACTATGTACTTTACTTTTATTTTCATCCATTTAGCAAATATTATTGACTGTCTACTGTTTAAAAGGTAGCACATCCTTGGTACATTGTAGGCACTCAAATATTACATCCCTTCCCTTTGGGAATATGTAAAGGAAATGAAATGCTGCATGCTAGTGCTGAGTTTCAGTTTATTCACATCCATTTGTTGAATTGCCTTGCTGCAGAGTAAAAGATAATGAATTCAAGATACTGAAACAATTATTACTTTTTGACCGTTGGTCCAGCAGCATGTGAGGTGCTAAGGTTTTTCTCGAGAACTGTGTGCTGTATCTTCTTTCTCATGATGTGTTTGGTTTGGCTGGCACTTGCCTTACTGAACACAGTGTCTGGGTCCTCTGCACATGCTTGCCGTATATAACGAGCAGCACCCACAGTGATCTGGCTGGTCACATCCATAGATGAAGTTTTCTGTATAGACGCAGTGAGAAGATATTAAAATACTTAGTTTCATTAAATTTCAATGTGCTTCCTTGATATGGAGGAAAAAATTCAAGAAGCATAATGAAAAAATTGCTGTTTTTATCATGAACATGGGCATAAAAGATAAATTTTACCCAGTTGCAGCCCTTTGGATCAAGACCAAAATTAGCAAAAATAAAGGCAAATTCTGTGATTCTTTTTTTTACTGATTTGAGAATGTCAGAAATGAGTTGATGTATTTTGAGTATTTCTTTCATTTTTAACTATAAGTTACTGGGAGAATAAGAAATTCATCCTCTCCATCGGGGTAGGGACTAAAAACGTATACAAAAGCTTTGCCCCTTGTTTGCTCCTCACTTGCTGAAGTTGTCTGTGGTGGACCCACAGTTTAAAGCTTGCTCGTTTTATTCGCTCCAACATCTCAAACGAAGATATCGAATGACAAGAAGTAGGATTTCAAGGCACAAACCATGTGACCACGAATTTTTTTTAAAGCTTCTGTTACACTTTACTTCATTTCTTTCTACATTTCATTTATTTCACGTATAAAACTGTGCTGGTCTCTCTTCTCTCAACTTGTTTCCACTGCAGTCACTGAAAGAAATTATTTTGGTTTGTTCTACTAAAATAGAATATATTTTAACTCTGTTTAAAGAACCTAGAAATCCCACCCTCTGTGGGGAGATACCTTTAATTTTTGTCAATTTGTAGACACATTTGCATGGTGCTTATTGTGGAATACAGTGGAACTTTTCTCATTTGATGGTTTGCATCACCATTAGAACAGGGAAGAGAAGAAACTGGAACGTATCACATGTTTTCAGTGATACACATGAGCAGACATTATTCCTGGGAAGCTTTGGTCAGACCCTTTTATTATGACTATAATCATCGAATCAGAAATAGAAAGGGCCCTGGAAGCACCTCAGTCCAGACCCATTGTTTTACAAATGGAAAAACTAAGTTAATTATCAGGGTTAACAGCTAGTTAGTGGCAGTCAAGAATAGAACCTGATCTTGAGCCAAATGCTTTTTCTGTTATTCCACACTGCCTCATTGAAAGCTGAGTATGAAGTTATTCTGCTAGTTTTGATAGCACAGTAGTAAGTAGAAAGGGCAAAACAATAACCAAGTAGTAATTAAGCTTATTAGCTGATGCATTACTTGTCAGTGGTGCTTTTTATAAAACCAGAGAACAAAGGAAGTATTATTAGCATTTAATATTTTTAAAACAATAGTTTCTAAGTCTTAATAGTACCTTGAGAAGTATTCTTTATGGTTTACATTTACTTTTTTAATGTGAATGTTATAATTGTTTGGTAGGACAAGTACATTTGGAAGAGCATTGACACAGATTTATTCAAAAGTTTGTCTTTTAGTTGTTGGTCATTTGTTCTCTTTGTTTCTTGGCCATTATCTCAGTCTTTTTTTAGGTCCGACTCTTCCATCTGCATGACTCCCATAAATGATAGCATTTCCTGAAATTTTATTCTGGGGTGTCTCCTTACTGTGCCTCCCCCTCTACCTGGTCCCATCCACATCCTCAACCTGAGTCAGCTCTCGTGTGCTGGCTCTCGATGGCATATCTCTAGTGCACACCTTCTGTTAGCCCTCCTTAGTTCAGAGGCTGGGAAGTCTGCAGTTCAGGAGGCACATCTGGTAATGGCCTTGTTTTTGGTGGTGACTCTACAGCAGTGCAGGGTGTCACATGGAGATAATGGGCTGAGCAAGAGTACATTTACTTTCTGCATATATCTTTTTGGTGACATTCTTTGTGAGTGTACAAATCTTTGATTTTTTAGTTCAGATGATTGCATATGAGAAGTTATGCTTATTATATATATGATTATGCTCATGTATAATTATGTGTTACCTGGGTATTTTCTCATGAACAGTGTCCTCATCAGTAATTTAAGGATTTACCAAGTTTAAAAATTTTTCAGTAACTTTGAGTTTATTTTGTTTCAGTTCAGAAAAACTCTAATATTTTCATTGACAGCATAAACTGAAATATATTCTTATATGAAATAACCTATTTCACATCCTTTTAGACATTTGTTCATGTATTTAAAAATGCATTTTAAATGATTTTTAGTTCATGGAAAAGAGTAAGGACATTTGATAGTATGTCAAACATATTGAAATATGGAACTAGGTGAAATATATCTGTTTGTAATACCGATATTGCACGTAAAGTGTGAAGTGTTTATTCAGTATTTACTTCTAATCTTAAGTTTTAGTGAAGTACTAAATCCCTGCA